GAGGGGAGACGGTCATATGAAGATGAAGAGAGAGATCAGAGTGACACTGCCAGGGACACGGAGGGGAGACGGTCATATGAAGATGAAGGCAGAGATCAGAGTGACACTGCCAGGGACACGGAGGGGAGACGGTCATATGAAGATGAAGGCAGAGATCAGAGTGACACTGCCCCACCAAAGAGGCCTGGAGCTGCCGGAGCTGAAGAACCTGGAAGGATCCTCCCCCAGGAATTTAAGAGGGAGTATGGCCCTGCCAACAACTTAATTTGGGGCGTTGGGTCTCTAGAACTATGAGACAGTAAATTTCCATTGTTTTCAGCCACTCTTTGAAAACAACCCTAGGAAACTAATAAAGAGGTTACAAAAAAGGACAATCTGCCTCAAAGGAGCTTACAACATGGAGGAGAAGTGCAGAGGGAGATAATAAATGTCACCACAAGGCAGAATTAAAAGAAAGCTGAATAGAGGTAACAAGCAACATGACAGCAGGTGTAACGAGGCCATCTGAGGAGGTCGGGCATGGTGGCTCACACCTGTAATCCTAGCACTCTGGGAGGCCGAGAAGGGTGGATTGCTGAGCTTATAGGCTGGAGACCAGCCTAAGTAAGAGTGAGACCCTGTGTCTAAAAATTGCCGGGCATTGTGGCAGGCGCCTGCAGTCCCAGCTATTTGGGAGGCTGAGGCAAGAGACTTGCTTGAGCCCAACTTTGAGGTTGCTGTGAGCTGGGACACCATAGCACTCTACCAAGGGCAACAAAGTGAGACTCTGTCTTAAAAAAAAAAAAAAAAAAAAAGGCGATCTGAGGACGCAGAATCCAAGTCCTCCTAATGGCATCCGAGAAAGCCCATGGAGGCAGCAGCATCTGTGCTGGCTGAGTGGTGAGCAGGGTGAGACTCACAGCAGCACAGGTGTGCCCACATCCTGAGTGATCACGGCAGGCCCTGGGCTGGCTGGGGGCAGAGCCTGGGGCTGCTGAGAGGCTGACACTGCCCCAGAAAGTCCTTCCACAGCAGCTACCAAGCCCCAGACCCCTACCTGCCCCTCTGGCTTCTTTCTAGCTCATACAGTTTCCCAGTTATTTGAGTTAACAGTCCCCTAACCTGAATTCCCAGTTTCTATGTCAGTTTTCCAACTTTCAGGAAAAAAACATACATCCACATACCTCGTATTCCTCTGCGAAGCCACAGTTGGAGTCGGCTTGCTGCTTCTTAAAGTAGGCCTCAAAATTCTCCACTCTGATTAACTTGGATCTACACAGACAAAGCATTTGGGTTTTTTACATTCAATGATTTTTCACTCAAAATAAATAAATACAAGTTATTTTAAAAAGTAAACAAGGTACTCACTTTTTAGGTCTTCATCATAGAAAAGAAAAGAAAAAAAAATAAGCAATTAGAATAACTCATTCATTCTCCGGAGATGATAGTAAACATCCTTCCCCCCAAAAAAATCAATAATCTGGGGGGATGAGGGTCTGTGTAACATGATTTACAAATCAGGAAATCTGATTTCTAGATCCTGCTGTGTCAGACCGACTTTATGATAAGTAAGTTCTTCTCTCCTGCTAAAGCTTGATGATCCATTTGATGATTTTAACCACAAAATGTCAATTTATTGGTAGGACAGAAGAACATGACAAAGACGCTAGCTTCAGGAGACTAACAAAGCATAGATTTCCTGCAGAAAACACAGTTAGCAAGACCTTCAAGGGGATCGGGCCAAATGTGTCAATCAGGAAAAATGACAAGTTCCATCAAAAATTCCCTGGACAGTCACTGAACAGACTGGGGGATCGTATGCCTTAAAATAAAGCTCATAACTCAGAGACTTACTTAATTTGAGAAAAGGACACTTCATTGTTCTTTGCATCTTTCCTGTTTGGAAGAAAAGAGACCCATTAGACAAAAAAGGTTCATTCTATATTCCTCCCTTTCACGTATCTACAAAAAACCTTTTCTCCAGGCTTAGCTCACAGATGATCCCAGATCCCGCTCGCTCACACTAACCTCAATGTTCCGAGCAGCAAATGCCAACTATAAATCTGTGAGTCTATTTTCTTTAATATTATCCTCAAAGTATGAAAAAATCAAACTCAACTTTTAGGAAATTTCCTTACTAATCTATATCCACAGAAGTACCTTACTGTCAAGCAAGCCTCATCATTTATACTGTTTTTGAGAAAGCTTTTCTGGTAAGTTAATGCAGTAAGTCAGAAAACATCAGAGCCAATGCTGGCAAGCTGGGGAGGAACCTGCACTCGCCAGCACCAGGGACTAAACTCCACGTTGGTATTGAAAAAAAACATCTTTCTGGAAGGCAATCTGAGAGTGAGCCCCAAAATTGAAAACATGAATCCCCTTGACCCCAGCAGTCGCCTAGCTTGGAATTTAGCCTCAGAAATAATCACGAATGTACCCGAAGATTTAGGCACATTCACGTTAAGTAACTATAGCAAAAAACAAAGAAACCTGAAAACTGAAAATATCCCAGAAATTGGTTAAATAAAGGGTGGCCCTTCCATACAGTTGAACATTCCTCAGATGTTGTAAGATGATAATGAAATGAAGCTGCCCACAGTGTCGTCAGTGAATGAAGCAGACCAGACAGTAACATCGCCAATGCGCATGCATTTGTGTGAGGGGTTTATAATCACATCGGAATATTACGAGTAGTTTTGCCTGGGTACTGCAATCATGGATTACCTCTTTACTTTTGCTCTTCTTTTGTTTGTTTGTTTTTTTTTTTTTTTTAACCGTAAGCATGTATTTACTTTTCTGTTTAACAAAAAACAATGAAGGTGTTTTACCCAGCCACTGACCTCGGCCCCCACCCCACCACCCTGCAAAAATCAGTACCTAATATACAAGGTGGAGCATGAGCCCTGCCCGTCAGCTCAACAGGGCCAGGAGGCCACACATGGAACCATCACAGCCCACGTGCACAACCCCTCACTGGAATGAAGACTTCCCGGCCGTCAGCACCTGACCACACAGGCAACCCAACTAACACACCCCACGAGGTCCGGCAAGAGGGTGCGCAGTGAAGCACGTGGACCAGGTTCAAGTTCCACTTTCACACTTCCTACATGTGGCTTCTCTATCCTTGGAAAGGGGTTCCCAAGCCCTGTCCCACAGAGGCTCATGGATCAAGTAATTCACAGAAAGCACCAATCCAGCACACGGTGAGCCCTGAGAGCAGGGGAGCTATTTGACAACCCCACAGAGTCGTGGTACAGATAAAATAGTAAAGGTAACATGCAAGGTACATACACTGTGTGAAGTTTCTCAGTTTCACAAGGTAGGCACAATTATTACCCCCAATTCATAGGTGGGGACATAAAGGCTAAGCTTCCTAACAGCTAGTCAACGATGGAGGCTGTGTTCAAACTTAGCTAACTCTAAAATGACATCTCTTAATGCTAAACTATGAAAATGGTTTTGGAATGAGAATGTACCCTTTGAAAGTAGCAGTGAACACTGCAGCATGACGTGATGGCCGCAATGGTCGCCCCACAGGAAGTACAGGTGGAAACCTTATTAGCTAGATGGCGAACACCGTGGTGATGAGAACCTGGCACTCACTATACTATCCCTTCCCATTTTGTGAAAGTTTGAAATTACCATAATAAAAAAAGCTTTCTTAATATAAAGTATTATTATTAACTTAAGAAGTATCACCTTTTCTTTCTCCAGAAGATGAAGCCTCCCACAGCCACAATAACCAGGGCACCAAAGATACATCCAAAAACTGCACCACAGATGACACCTGGGACCAAATGAGAGAGGTTGCAAGAGATGCTCACGCAGGACCCCAGGCTGTAGTGTCAGCCAGCGGGGCCTCCACCAAACGGCTTGGGGTGTGGGGCGAGGTGTGTGCACGCACACACGCACACACACACACACACACACACGGGAGGGTTAACTAGCTTTGCACTATTTAAATCTAGCATAAGTTTAGGTCCTAAACTAGTTTTTCACCTAAAACTCAGAAGCTGGTTTCTACACCCCCAGTCAAACACCAACTGCATGATCTTGAAAAGGTCACTATTCCTCTCCAGGTCTGTTTCCTCAAGTACAAATTTCGGAAGCTGGGCTAGGCCACTTAAGTTCATACCTCCTCTGGCTTTTTGAGACCAGCATCCAGGCAGAGATGAGCAGAAGCACCCTCAGCACCCCCCTCAGGCAACATGAACTCCCTTGTTCACTGGGGAAGGGTGTGGGTCTCCCTAAACTTTGCTTCTGGGGCAGGAATTTCTTCCTACACCCAGCAACTCCTGGTTATAAAAGCCACACAGACTAACAAACCAGTTGGTCCATTTGCTCTGGCCTGGAGACAGGTCCCCGAGGCCCCTCTATCACTTAACATCTGTGTGACAAAGGGTAGGAGCAAGGAATCTAAGACCGAAATTTCTGCCCCTAAAGCTACTGTGTGACCCGGGCAAATTACTTCCACTCTCTGGGCCTTAACAGCCTGATTTCTGAAAGGGACCTGGACAAATTCTAGGTGATGCTAATATTCAGGATTCCAGGCACTATGTCACACTGTGTGCTTAGAACATGTAAGTTACCACCCTAAGATAAAGACACTGAATAATGTTTGCAGACTGCAAGACAAGTGACACTTAGAGGAGGAGAGTGTGGCTGGGCGGTGGGACCTCAGAGGAGGAAGGTGAGTCAGCTCGACAGCCCAGGGTCATCTCAAGCGCTGAGAGGGAGACCTGGCCATGCCCACCCTCCCAGGGGCCTGCGGGAGACAAGCAGACAGACGGCCTTCTCTGGACATGGGGAGCAAAAGCCCACGAACTGGTTGTTTTCCCGCTACCTGGATCCTGGGGCAAGAAAACAGCCTCTGAGAAGCGACTGAAGGACACGTAGCTCGCAGCCCCATCAATGAGCCCGTTGTTTTGAGGGAGAAAGGTAATGTTGGTGAAGCCAGCCACACAAACCCTGGGGATGACAAAGCAAAAGGGGCGGCTGAGACGGGTCTGACGCCCCAGACGCACAGAGCTTTGCAGTCCCGAGACTCAGCCCCCGGAGAGCAGGGATGGGGAGGAGTTACCGGTAGGAGCCCAGAGGTTCCAGCTTCCCGTTGTAATAGCCAAACGTGTTCGACTCATTCCCAACATCAATTTCGTATTTCGAGACTTCAGAGGAGCCCGGAGAATGTCCCTTTTCTTCTGTTACTATGAGGTATGTCACATAAGTGTGTGAGGTCCCCTTTTTGAAATCTGCATACGTACACTGCAAGTCACTCGTGGAAGGCCGATCAGCTAAAGCACAGAGAAGGAAAATCAGAAGACAGTGCTGGCTGAGGGAGACTTACATCTCTCCATATCTAAATAATGACACGACGCTGGGTGATAATGACATCAGTGACCGTCTCTCAAGGATCACTCTATGGCTATTTTAAGTGCTTTACTTGTATTAACTCATTTCATCCCCACAATTCTCATCACCTGAGTGTACATGTATTATCCCCATTTCACAGATGAGAAAATGAACGCACAGAAAGCTAACAGGACCTGGCCCCAGGTCACACTGCCTACGAGGTGGAGCTGGATTTCCAACCCAGAGTGTCTGACTCAGAGGCCCTCGGTCTCATCCATCACAGGCTGGCCCCGGTCGGTTTGGCCGCTGTGCGACACTGCCTCCCTCCGCGAGATTTTTTGAAAAGCATCACAGCAAAATGACAAAGAGCTTGAAACACATCCATAATAAAACAGAAAGAGGGATCTCAACCTCACTTTTTGAAACTTTGCTGCAGGTTATCATCCAAGCATATTTCTACCCTCCAGAATCCCCAGTCCCTGACGGTGTGTTTGGTCTCCACCTTCCCACGGGAGATGAGAACGACACCAGAGGAGGGGAGACCGCAGAGGAGGTGCTGCATTACTCACACCTAGTTAAAGAATCGCGTTTTAAATCTAGGCCTTCTGCAAAGCACTCACCCATAAGACACTCTCAAATTATTCCCTTCCTACTACCATGGAGTAGAACAAAGCCCTTTAAGGGAAAGCAGCCTTTAATCCACCTCCTCGTTCAGCTACTGGGATGCTTTGTACAAGTTCCTGGTAACAAATGCAAATCTTTTTCTGTTTTTTGTTAAGAGAAACTCATCCCCTGAGGATGATGGGCGTCTGTGCCTGTGTGTGTGAGAGTAAGTTTGTTAAGACTAATATTCTGCCACCTGAAAGGCCATAGGATGTAAAAGAAAAGAAAAACCTAGATCACGGGCCAGCAAGTTATGGACCACAGGCCAAATTCAGCCACCACCTGTCGTGGTGAATACCAAATGGGAATGGCCTGCTCATTCTTTATCTTTTACAACTTCATCCACAGAGAAGGACAGAGGCTGTGGGGCCTACAAAAATGATGCAAAGAAAGCGTACCAACCCTCAGGCTAATCGCTCCCCCACCCTCTCTGAGTGCCAAGCACGGGCTGCAGCTTATGGAGAGGGAAATATTTACATTGTTAATGTGCCTCAGTTGGCACAGAGACAGCTCCAGTCATAGCATCACTCACAGACTCTTAACCCACAGAGGACCCTCCTTACCATCCCCAGTGGTGAGAATGACAGCGTAGGCTTTGATGGGTCCGTGGCTGGCTTCAAATCCACTGAAACTGACCTTGACTGAATTGTGACTGATGGTTGTAATATTAGGGGATCCATCTGGAGCAAGGGGGTCTGAAATAAAATGAGACAAAGCATGATCACCCAACATCGAAAATCAAAGGAGGAACAAAATGATTAGGCAGAGATGTGCTTCGGTACCCTCCTCAAGATCTGCCTGTTTGGAAGCTGCGTCCTGGCCCCAGAAGCAAGGGGCAGTGAAGGGAACTAGGGACGTGCAGGGACAGTGGACCCTGGGAAGCCGCCAAGCTTGCAGTGACCCCGTCAGTGCATTCAGCCACGTCCCCAGGGTGGATGCCCAGTAACCTTGTTTGACTTTGTTGTTGCTATTGTTGTTTCTAATGCTATATGATTTTTATAGATTTGTTGAAGTATAACTAGAATTCTACAAAAGAGGGAAAAGACTCGTACAATGAAAACTACAAGAGGCTGATGAAAGAAATTAAAGGATGACAGAAATAGGATCGACGCCTGTGGCTCAAGCGGCTAAGGCACCAGCCACAAACACCTGAGCTGGCGAGTTCGAATCCAGCCCAGGCCCGCCAAACAACCATGACGGCTGCAACCAAAAAATAGCCAGGCGTTGTGGCAGGCGCCTGTAGTCCCAGCTACTTGGGAGGCTGAAGCAAGAGAATTGCTTGAACCCAGGAGTTGGAGGTTGTTGTGAGCTACGATGCCATGGTTCTACTGCGAGCAACAAAGTGAGACTTTGTCTCAAAAAAAAAAAAAAAAGAAAGAAAGAAAGAAATGTATACAATATGAACTGATGTCAAAGACTACAAAAAAGAATGCACAAGATCTCATTAATACCTTAAGAAACTATACACAGAAAAAGTCAAATATGGAGTTAAATAAAATGTTATTAATTTTTAATTTCAGTTGTTTCTTTTTACATTTTAATGTGGCTACAAGAAATCTTTAAACCATATATGTATTTCTAGAGGATGGAGCCCCTCTAAACAAGCATCAGCAGCCTCTCAAGTAACTGACGGCAGTGGCTGCCTGGAGGTGCTGTTCCCCGTCTCATGGTCAACTGTGAGCACAGACACCCACATCTCACGGCAGTTCTCTGCCCTGTAGCTGGCCAGAGAGGGCCGCCACCCCACCCTCACCCTAAGACAGGTAGCAGCACCCTAGCTCAGGCAGCACCAAACCCAGAAATCCTCTCCCTCTCGGCTCTTCTCAATCCTGTGCTCCAGGGGCCCCATCATCCTTTTTCTCCATGTGTCCCGGACCCAGCACATGTGGGCTAGAAGACTGTCACTCCCACACTCCCAAACTCAGAGAAAATGCAATTCCACTTCTACGTGACGGGTGGTATTAATACATCTGTATATAAAAATGCATCTGAGGTAAAGGAAGCTACAGCTTACAAAGTGAAGAGAATCATTGCAGGAAATGATCCACGGTCAGTATCCCAACCCTGCCACACAAATTTCAGCTTCCAAAATAATTACCTCTGATGAGCTCCTGTACTCTGCGCCAGGCGCTGTGCTCGGCCCTAGAGACACTGAATCAGACGTGATTTCCCTTCCTCAGGAGTTTATACGCACAAAGTGAGAGGACATCATGAAACAGAACTACAAAGATGTGCACACAATGGTCACTGTTTCTATTATGTTCTAGAGTGCTGCAGAAGCCCAAAGGAGCGCGACCCAGGGCTGGGCACAGCTGGACACTACACAGCTCTGTCTGGTTCCCTTTGAATAGTGCCCCAGGGATCATGCAGCACACACTAAGCAGCTTTACATGGCGGGTCTGACATGGCCTTCAGCTCATATTACCTCATCTAATTTGTACAACAGTCCTTCGAGGTAAGCATTGTTTCCCCTTTTTACAACTAAGAAAAACAAGGCTCAGGGAGGTTAGGTAGCTTTTCTGAAATCACACAGCTGGTAAAAGGTTAAAAAGTCAAATTGAGAATCAAATCCAGGTCTGCCCCCCTAGGTTTAAGTCTCTTTCTACAGAACCCCTTACCCACTTTCCAAGTCAGGTCTCTAAAGTAAAAGGCCCTTTTTTCCTCACTATTGCAATCACTAATTCTTTGGAAACTATTTGAAACATTGTAACGTCCTAAAGAAAATATATCCAGGAGTGGAAAAGCACAAAGTGAGATGGAACCCCCGGGAGGCTGATCTGAGATACAACTTTGACAAAGACAACGGGAGCAAAAGACAAATAAAATGAAGCAAAGAGATAAGAAGTAATCTTTCCAAGAGCAAATACACATATACAACACACACACACACACACACACACACACACACACACGAAAGACAGGCCATGAAAAGATTAGCTTGTAGGATCCCCTGCTCAGTGAATGATTTTCTGTTTCTCAAAACAGCTCAGTAGCTTGTTAATATGAATTATAGGGAAATGTTAGTCTTGACTGAGGATCTCATGATGGCACAAAAAAAGTCTTGCTAAATTTTTAAATATAGTGCTGATATCAACATGGTTACATTTGACACAAAGAAAAAGGGACCCCTCATTTTGAAGCAATCAGAACACACTGAAATATTTGTAAAGTTATACAATGATCAGGACTGACTTCAAAGTATCCAAGAAGGGAAGGAAGGGAAGATACAAATGAACAAATAGGCCAAGTGCCAACAAGTGTTCCACTAGGTGGCAATGGGCCCCTGGGATTCATCATACTACTCTCTACATTTGTGTATAGTGGAACATTTCTATAAAATGCTTTTTTTTAATGCACTAAGGGAGTCATCACTTAAAATGAAATGTGACAATCAGATATTATATAAAGATATATAATGGAAACTTTTACAATGTAAAAAATAAGTCCCTGTTACTCCTCTTACTTCCTTAGACTGAACTTCTATAGAATGGGAAACTAGTCTACGCTAACAAAAGCAAGTATTTTAGGGAAATAAAAAAGTGAACTTCTAGGCCACGCTTACAGACCCAGGGGGCCTGCCTCTCTAGGGTGACCACGGCCCACCCGGCCATGAAGCCCACCTGTGATGCCAGTGACACAGGTGCTTTGGACAGAGACTGCCATCTTCTCACAGGACACGGTGGTGACGCTAATGTTGTACGAGGTAGAAAAATTCAAATACATGACTTCTGTCCTGTACTCGGTGCCATTCTCCGAGAAGCAGCTCTCCAGGCGTGTCACTCTGTACCAAGTCCCGCTGCTGACCTGCAGCTCGAAGCCTTCATTGGCGCCAGGAGGACAGGCCCAGGTGAGAACCAGGGCTGGCTTTCTGGGGATCATGTCACAGTGGAAGGAGGCCACAGATGCGGGAACTAGAAAGGAAGCACAGATAAGGATGAGATGTAGGACCCTCTGCCTTTGCAGACCCTGAAATGTGGGGAGAGGCAGAATCTGGGCACCTCTGTGTTGAGGAGGTAGGAGTGTTATGTGGTGGGAGAGGGAGAGGCTGACCCTAAATCGGGCAACACCAACTATGTGACCTCAGGTCGATCAGCCAACAACTCTAAGACTCAGCTGCAGGACCGTCTGACAGTTAAATCAAACGAGGGGTATCAGTCTCCGAGCAAAGTGCCTGGAAGGGACCAGGGCTCTGTGCGAGGCAGCTGTGTCATACTGTCAGTGGTAGCAACTTCCTGACTTGCACTGTCTCATTTTGAGGCCCTCTTGTCGACCCTTCCGAACAGCTGAGCTTCGTGCTGTCCCATTTTGCAGATGTACCAACGGATTACTTAATTTGCTGAAGATGACGTGGCTGGCAAGGAGTGAAGCCACAAGTGGATCCCAGGTTTTCTAAGTCCACGTTCAGAGCACTGTCTACATGCACCGCATATTGAATGATCAATGGCAAATGGTACCAATTTCTTAAACTTTAAAATGGGTGATATTTGTATCCATCTATTTGTGGGCTAGTTGAGAGCCAACATCAAACTGATGAAGTGGAAATTAATATGCTGCTGAGGATATTATCATTAATTGAATGCCACAGGATTTTAGAACAGAAAAAGCTCTGAAAGGCACTTAGTACAACTCCTGCATTCTCTGCCCAGAGCCTGGAAGGGGTTCCCGCCTGGTACACCCACTGCTACAGCTCCTGTTCCACCCAGCCCCAGCCATACAAACTCAGAGATTTTTTTCTCTTGCTGAAAATAACTGTAGCTAAAGTATCAACATGGAAGCTTCCCTAATACCAAAGATCAGAGCCCAGAGCAGGTGGGATACTGAGTTAGCAAAGGTGACTCAAAGTGGCAGGGAGTTCCTTGGCCACCCCATGTGGAAAGTCACAGGCCATCAAGGTTGCAGCTCCAACACTACCAGGGAGGCTGACCCCGTGGCACCCCCACTTCCCACTCAACCTGAGCACGTGTGAAAGCCTGGTCCGGGGAGGAAGTGACATAGGAGAAGGGGGCAGAGAAGGAGACATGTTCTGGAATGTGGCTGTCGAACAACAGGTGCTATAACCAGAACTGTGAGAAGTGGCCGCAAGTGTCTGCCAAACCTTCCCTGGACCATCTGAAAGCATCCTCAGTTAAACACAAGGCTCTTCCTCTCTTTATCACACTTGGTGGACTGTGAGATAGGTAGAGATCAAGAAGGCTGGAAAGACTAAGCGTCATCTTAACAATATCCTTTCCTTCTCCCTCAATATAGAAGCTGAACCAAGAACTGCATGGCTGGACATCACCTGTGTGCTGGCCCAGCACTGCCGGGGCCTTACCTCCCACCCCGCATGCTCCTGCTCCCGGGGATCCACTCCTGCCCTCAATCCCCAGGCTCTGGCTCTCCCTCCAACACAGCAGACTCCAGCCTTGGGGCCTGTGCACTGCTCCTCTGCCTATAATACTCTCATGCCCTGACATCCACCTCGCTAGCTCCTTCCCTTCTTTCAGATCTTTGCTCAAAAGTCACCTTTTCGTGGAGGCCTCTCCTGAGCACCCTAGAGAAGTATCTCATTTCCTCCTTCCAAAATAAAAGTTCCAAGAAGGCAGGGACTTGTCTGTCTGGCATATTGTAAATGCAGAAATGATGAGGGCATCGGGACAGCACTAATAAGCTGACAGAGTGTCTCAGAGAGCTCGATGTCTATCGGTGCACACCACACAAAACCTAACGAACTACAGATAGTGGAGGACCGACCTACAGGTCAGCACCATCGGGGAAGGGGACCAAGAGGCCACTCACATGTACAGAATGACTGCCACCCAGGTGTCAGTGACTCAGTAACATTCCCCACTTGTGTAAAGATCTCCACTGTGTAAGAAGAGCCAGGCATTAATTCAGTGACTACAAAGTCAGTGGCTCCAATGTTTGTGACCACTTCTCGTGTGTCATTGCTGGAATTGCTGACTCTCTCAATAAGAAGGAGGTAGGAATACGTGGGAGAGGCTTCATCAGAGTTCTTCCAACTTAAGGCTGCTTCTGTGGTAGTTGTGTTTATTTCAATGTTCGACACGTTGTTGGGCCCTTCATTCAAAAAAGAAAAAAAGAAAAGCAATTCTAAGTAAAAGTATAATTAGCTAGAATTCCAGGACTGTTTTAATTACTACATGCAAAAATACCCTGGCTCCTTTTGGACCTCCCACCCAAGTACTAACCAGGTCTGACCCTGCTTAACTTCCAAGGTCAGATGAGATGGGGGTGGGGGGAGGTATGGTCGTAGATCCTGGCTCCTTTTGGAAAGAATGAGTAAACCTACTATTTGCTGGCTCAAAAGACAGAAAACTTCCCCCAAAAGACATTTAGAATACAGATCAAATCCTAACAGAAGAAGTTTTCAGTCCTTTATTAATACTTCAACTTTATCAGCAGAATATATTTTAAGATACAATTTCTAATTTGTTTTTTAAGTCTGACAAATAAAGAGGAAAACATACTGAGTTTCCCCAAAACTACGACACTGTCTTATATTTATTTTTTCTCAGGAAGACACACTAGGGCTTATTTTCAGGGAATGTCTTCCTCTCTGTGCAGAAATGCATAGCACTGCATAGCCATGCCCATCACTAGGTCTTATTATTGGGGTAGGGCTTATATTTAACAAACGCATAGAAATCCTGCTAGAGCTTATTTTGGGGGTAGGTCTTATTTTCGGGGAAACCTGGTACTAAAAATATTATACACTAACATCTTTACCATATACTTAGTTTGAACACTAGCAAACACCTCTCTCACTATTGTAGACAAAGCTCATCACCAAGCAGATCTTCTAATGCTAACACGACAAGGAGTTTGTATTCCCAAGGAATGAACGGTACAGTTCGCCATTGCCAAGGAATAACTTCCAGCTTCTAAAGACAATTTCAAGTTCATGTGGCTTCAATACCAGTGTCCCATGAGGACAACAGAACCTTTGCTAGGGCGACGTTTGCAACTTCAGCAGTTTGCAGATTCAACCCAGAGCCCAAAAACACACCGGCCTCCTCCTCCATCATCTAACCAGTGCCTCCTCCAAGAGAATGCCAGGGCTTAGAAAGGGACTTACGTGTATAGTATGCAGTGTAGCTGTTGTCCCCCGGCACGTGGTCCACCTCAGGATAGATTGTGATGTTATATAACGTGCCTGGGATCAGGCCCAGGAGAGTGATTTCTTTGTGAGAGGTGCTCATTTGGTTAGAGCCATGCTCAGACTGTACATTTAAATGGTAGATGTACTCGGAGGCATTGTCCCCACTCTCCCATGCCAGCTCCATCTCCGTGGTGGTGATTTGGATGGCACGGATGTTAAATACTGCACTGGGGGCTGGTCAGAGGAAATGAAGGAAAATGAAACCTGTTAGTGACCACCATGATGCCCAGGTTCATCTCAAAGTGTCTGTCAGGAGAACTGTCAAACGCAATCACAAGAGACAAATTCCCAACAGAAATGTATACATGCTTGGCTCAGCGCCCTTAGCACAGTGATTATGGCACCAGCCACAAACACAGATGGTGGCAGGTTCAAACCCAGCCCAGGCTAGCTAAACAATAGTAATAACTACAACAACAAAAAAAAAAAAACAGCTGGGCGTTGTAGCGGCGCCCAGACCAGGTAAACAACAATGACAACTGCAACAAAATATAGCCTGGTGTTGTGGTGGGCGCCTGTAGTCCCAGCTACTTGGGAGGCCGAGGCAAGAGAACTGCCTAAGCCCAAGAGTTTGAGGTTGCTGTTAGCTGTGACTCCACGACACTCAACCCAGGGTAACATGGTGAAACTCTATCTCAAAAAAAAAAAAAAAAAAGTGATTTGTAGAGTAATTATAGCAATGCAAACAAAATGTATGAGTAAGGACACAGAGATAAAAATAATTCAGTTGAGTTAGAAGAGTAGAGTTGCATTTGTTTCCCTTCCTTTTTATTGTGGTAAAATATACATACCAAAATATTTACAATTTTAACCATCTGTTCACAATTAATTTAGTGGCATTAAATACACTGGCAATGTTGCATAACTATCACCACTATCTATACCCAGAAGATTTGCATCATCCTCAACTCTGTACCCATAAAACGCAGGTACAAACTCTGTACCTAAAAACAGTAACTCCCCGTTCCCCCTCCCGCAGCCCCCGGTTACCTCAATTCCACTTTCTATCTCTACGCGCCTGCCTGTTCTGGGTGCCTCGTGTAAGTGGAATCACATAGTATTTGTCCTTTTGTGTCTGGTTTGCTGCACTGAGCATAATGCTTTCGAGATCCATCCATGTTGTATGTAGCATGTATCACAATCTCATTCCTTTTTATGGCTAAAAGTATTCTACTGTATGGATGTATCACATTTCATCTACCCATTTGTTTCCTGATGGACCCTTAGCTGTTTCCACCTTTTAGCTATTGTGAATAATGCTACCATGAGCACTGGGGTAAAAATAACTGTTGGAGACCCCACTCTCAATTCTTTTGGATGTGAACCTAGAAGTGGAATTGCTAGATCATACGGTATTTGTTTTCCTTTTTCAAAAGTGCTTTTAATGCTATTAAATGGGTTCTTCCCGATAAGAATGGCAGCTATTCAATAACAAAAGGTAACCTCCTAAGAATCTAGGGCCTTACTATAATCCTTCTTGACTTCCATTCAATGGCCTCATCCCAGGCTACAGGAAGGAGACGCCTTCTCCTCACCAGCACTAAACTATGTTGTAGCTGCACCACATGAAAGTGTCGGTACCCATGGTGGGTAAGCTGTCGATCTCACAGCCAGACAGCAGCCAGGCCACCACCTTGTCACTGTGGGCCCGTTATTAAGCTCACAGAGGCCCTGCTATAAAACAGAGATGACAGTATCCACCCCATGGAGCTGCGTCAACATTTACAAAAGAAGCCTATTTGCCTACCAGTTCTACCGTAAATGGTTTGAGATGGCCCTTGGGTCCCATTTGGTCCTTGTGGAAATATTTCAAAATGGTATTTGGTTCCAGGGTGCAAGCCATCAATGATAACAGTTTGATCAGTGGTTGTTTTCACCCAAGATTCTCCAGCTCCATCCTGGGAGATATTTATCTTAAAGGAATCCGAGTCATTGCTGCTCCAGGCTAAGCCAATTTCCTTTGCGCCAACTGAGGTTACTTGAAAGTTGGAAACTGGACCAGGAGCTGTGGGAAGAAAATAAACACCTGGACTTAGACTCTGTTTCTCCAAGAGACAGGGATGATTACTTCACAAAATAGTTACACTGGAAACTAAATGCAAACTTAGGACACCTGATCTCTCTTTTTCTCTTTTTTGCATCATTACCTAAAACACAAACTCTTCAGAAACTGGTGCTTCTGGCCAAGGAAAGAGCACCCAAGTGCCCAAACCTGGGTGCTTAAGTTGTATAAAGTCCACCACAGGGAATGAGCGGAGGTAGTGAATCCCCACGGTCGAGGGCCCAGGCTCTCCGGGAGAACCTTGGCTGCTCCTGGCTGCTTTATCGTAAACGCATCACTGAGAACTCCAGAGCCTCAGTTCAGAGAGGTGTGGCAGAGGCACTCTGGACTCCCAAAATCCATTCCCTCCTTTTTCCTTCATCACACCCCCAGATTTTTAGCTATGAGTATGGCCGCTGGGAATAAAGACAACATTTCCCAGCCTCCCTGGTAGCTAGATGCAGCCATGTGACTAAGAATGTGAGCAGAAATTTGCAGGACTTCTAGAAATATCCTTAAGGACCAGAGCACGACTTGCAGCCCCTCTCTCTCTTTCTGGAACACAGCTGTGATGATCACAGCTCAGGCTACCAACACTGTGGCAGTGGCTTCAGCTTCCTGATCCCAGGTCACAGGTGAGAACATGACATTCCTGAATCCAGCAACTGCAGCAGAGGCTACTGATTCCTCACTCCACTGTCGCTGGCTCTCCAGGGCAGTCAGTTCTGCAGCCTTAGGATGGGAGTCCTTTCTGGGAACCAATCCTAACACCTGCTCCTCAGCAATTATGGGCTAAATTGTGCCCTCCTCCCCAAATTCATTCTAAGGAGAGGAGGTGAGGACACAGACCTAAGGACAACCATGTGAAGACAGCCATCTACAAACCAAGAGGACAGGCTCAGAAGAAACCAAACCCACTGTTACCTCTACCTCCATCTTCCAGCCTCTGGAACAGTGAGGAAAACATATTTCTATTGTTTCAGTCACCCAGTCTGTGGTACTTGTTACAGCAGCTGTAGCAAACTAATACACTAGTCCTTCCACTGACCCTATAAACTCTCAAAGGACAACCCCTTTTGGCTTAAAATAGCTCATAGTTTCTGTTTCTTGCCACTGAGCCCTGACTAACACTCTACCATTCCCAATCTTCCCTAGCCCTGGGCTTCTATTATAGGAGAAAGAAATAAAATCATCTTGTTTAAGCCATTGATGATACCTTGGGAGGTGGAAGAGAAGGGGTTGTTGTAACAGGAAAAAAGTAAAAGGTAAAGAAATGAAAACAGACTTTATCCCCCCCCCCCCAAAAGCTTTCTAAGGAAGCATACGTAAAGCACCTATAAGGTAAAGCAAGCTTAGAGGATGAGCCTTATAGGCACCCTGGGTTAAATTTCCTGCTCACCAGTTGCTAGCTCTATGGCCCTGGGCAAACTGTTTCAGCTGAGCTGGGCTCTCATTTTCTCATCTGTAAAAGGGGGACCCTAAGACCCATCACGGAAGCCACAGCTATGTGTTTAGAGCCCCTAGCCCTGTGCACAGCTGCTGTCTATACTAATGATGAGTAGTAAAGTCAGTGTGATACTACTATACCCTAGTACACCATTATTGTCTTATTTTACACCATCAGCCTTCTTCAGAACAGAAAGTTTCTTATTTGCTTCCAAACATCTTATCCTTCAGGGACATTTAGCAAACAAAGGATGAGACATACGGCTGTGCCAGTGTGTCACTAGAATGTCAGCATCCAAGGGACATGAATATACAGGCTCTTTTTTTCTCCCTATATTAATTCCCTCCAGGTCTGAACCACACTACAATGGTCATTACAAGCACAGGCCACAGTCAAAACAGACGAGAGGTTTAGCCTCACCTCTGTCACTTACCAGGTGTGACACCTGCCTACATTACCTCCTGGCCTTGGCTTCCTCGTCTACAAAACAAAGCCAGCACCAACCACATCACAGGGTCAAACAGTGCATGGAAAACATGTCACATGGAGCTCAGCACGTGGCTAGGATCACCAATATGAACCAAGGATCACCATTATTATTTCACATGCCCTGAAGGAGGTTAGAGCCCCTCTGGACTCCACGCTGGGCTATGCATTCTCAGAGGGCAGGGTCAGAGCTTCTCCGGTCTGTATCTGAACCTGGCACATAGGAGGCTGGCAAGAAAGGTTAGCTAGAACAGCATGTGAACTCACGGGTGTACACTTGGAGGGAGCCCGGCATGCCCCTGGTGTCACCTAGGAGGGGATACACCGTGATGTTGTAGAGGGTACTCGAGGTGAGTCCGGGGATGACGGCCTGCATCTCACTGATGTTGACAGATAGGAAACTCGTCTCCGTAGCCACGACTATCTCATAGGTATACACAGAGGATGACTCATTATCAGTGATTTTCCAGGTCAGGGTCAAGCTTGTGGCACTGATGTTCACGACTGTGACGTCAAAAACCTGACTAGCATCTGTGAGGACAGAAGAAGAATTAAAAATAACTAGGACAGCAGGGAAAGAGAGAGACAGAAGTTGTCATCGGGGCATGTCACCAAGGCTGAGAAACTCTTGGGGTCGTTCCTTTCTCCTCCTCCACACCATCTAACCATCCCGGAAAGGTGTGTGGTTCCCAGACAAAGTCCAGCATCTCCGGCCAGTGAAGAAACTAGCTGGCCCACCACACCTGCACAGCTACTCGTTGTCCTTTTAGAGTTGACTTCAGAGATACAAAGAACTCGTAAACAATAACGTGGACCCTATGTGTGCTTTGCCCTCGGTGCTAGGGGGACCCAGAAAAGCCCCCAAGCATAAATCCATCTGAAAATGAACACTAAACATGATCAATTAAAATTGCAGACTTCAAGCACGAGGCAGATTTGGGTTCCAAGCCTAGTTCTGCTTCAATAGCCAGCTGGGCCCCAGGAAAACCAATTAAGCTCAGTTTCCTCATCTATAAAAATCAGGACAGCAACCCTAAGCTCAAGAAATGATAGCATGAGAGTGCTAGGTATTAGTCTCGTGCTCACCCCACACTCCCGATGTGCCCTCTGTCCTCCTCTCACCTGCAGTGGCCATGAGGCTACCCCGCACATGGCATTACCAAGAGGCCTTACCACATGTCTGTGACCGGGTCCCACAAGCCAGTGAGGTGGACAGGCACCAGAGGCCCAGGGGAAGTGGGCAGCATCCTCCTTCATCGCCTCCCACTCTGGGCCATGGGTCCTGACACGGCTGCGTCGCCCACTCTCCCCCACTCTCCCCTTGTCCTCCCCTCACCTGCCAGACCTAGCAGGACCTTCTGCCACAACTAGCCTTGGGGGCCTCAGCAGCCTTCATGGCTTCCTAATGCTGCCCCACCTAACTAGTCTCTTGAAAGATGTGAGGTTTTCTCTATGTGTGTGTATGTCTTGTAATGGACTGAATGTGTGTCTCCCAAAATTCCTATGTTGAAATCCTAACCCCCAAGGAGATGGTAGCAGGAGGTGGGGCCTGTGGGGGGTAATTCAGGAATTACCGCCCTCAAGGGAGCACTCAAGAGTGAGGCCTACTAACCAAAGAGACCTGAGAGAGACGCTCCCTCAACCCTGCAGCCACGTGGGGACCCAGGGAGTCTCCAACTCAGAAGGAGCCCCTCAACCCCAGGCTCAGACTTCCAGCCTCCAGGACTGTGAGAAATAAGTGTTTGTTTACTGTTTACCAGTCCGTGGTCATTTGCCATCCCGAACTCACTAAGATACACACAGAGAAGGAACAGCTCCTGTAATTACCATTTACCGTGCACTGAGGCAGTTCCACACAAACCAGGAGATGTGTGTATTCACACCACCAAGATTCCAAACACCATCACTATTACTTTACTTTTCCTCAAACAACTTTAAAAAGCAGGGAACCCGAGACCCACACTGACCCAATGACCCCTTTTAGTAAATCAGGTAAAGGGTCCTTCCTCTGGCTGGACCTACCCCCGGGGTACACAGCTTCTCACACAAGCTTCTCATGTGCAGGACAACCCCACCACTGCCAACAGCACCCATGGGGGCCCCTTCTCCTCCTGGAGCTCACCCACCCTGTGGAAACCAAGTCCTCCCCCCTCTCTGGCAGCCCACCCACCCCCGCTGCTCCTGCAGAGCACTCAGGGTTCTTGACGTAAAGTCCAGAAACCTCTCTCACACCACATCCTCCCCACCCTACCCAGGCATCAGCAAAATCATCCAAATGAAGAAATAAGGACATAGAGGACCCTCCCTCGACATGGACACCAAGAAACGCTGCAGTTCCTTAGAGCCACGGCTTGTCACTGACTTCCTGCCCAATGTTCTAGCTCTGTACAAGTAAGACAGTCTGGCCTCTGACTGCCTCCTAGATTCTAAAACCCATTCCCCTCCCCCTTTACACTCTCTAAAAGAAGAGAGTTCTCAAAGCAGGCAGGAAACCTCTCTCTAGGAGTTAAATCCACCCCTTAGGAATTACTAGGGTCCCTGAGATGCCTACGCACCCCAACACCCCTCCTTCCCACACCCCACTCCTGCTTCCATCCCAGTCACCAGAACCAGGGACACGGGCTTCCCTCCTGGCTAGTCTCCCGCCTGGGATTCCCACTCTCCACACCACCCACATTTCACTGCCCAACCATTCCTCTGACACCCAGCTACCTGGTCACTCCTTAGGCAAAGAGAGGTCTATGGGCCTGTGACAGCCTTTGTAAATATTTGTTAACAAAAAGAATTTTTTTTTCTTAAGTCATCAAATAGCCAAAGCAACACGATGGACCTTAAACAAGGAGCCACAGTGCCCCCACAGCCCCGGCGGCCCTCAGCTCACCTGCCCTTGGCTTCCACACACCCACCTCTCGTCCACTGAATGCACTTTCACTTAGGGGTTTCCTCACTGACCTGTCTTCACCTTCTCCCCATGTATACAGAGCCTCACGTCCTCCCTGGAGGAGAGAGGCCTCCCCCAGGACTGGAGGTTAGGACTGTGCTCCCACCATCCAGTGTCCACAGCAGTGCAGGGGGCAGCTAGTGTGGACGGAGCCATGATACCTGCATGGTACTCCCTACCAAATAGCACCTGACCCTTTTGGTGGAAGAAGCACTTGCCACTTGCAGGAAGACTGGGAAACAGCAACTCCCTCCCCCAGCACAGCCATCCAGAAAGCAGACTCTGACACCTCCTCCCTCCCAAACTTTGAAGGCCCAGCCCTCCAGAGGTCTGTTTCTCTCCTTATTCCTCCAGCCCTGACACTCCAGTTCTGTGGGCCTATGACAGCTTTTCGAAATGTAAATATATGTATATTTGGATCAAATACCCAGACTCAGTTCTCTCTGCCTACAATCAGGCCTCAGGCTATGATGAGGCTGTGTTGGTTCCTGAGCCCATGGAGCCTGACTGTGTGCTTTTCTGTGTGCTCACCTCCCCAGCTGTCCTCAAAGTTCCCTGAGGGTAGAAACCATACATTTCTTTATTCTCTCATATGCACCAATCCAAAAGCCTGCAAATACTAGTCAGTTTGGAAGGTGGCTATGCTGGTACTTACAGCCAGAAAGCAGTAACCTGTAGTCAGCAAGTGCTTCAATAAAAGACCTGTCTGAACACCAAAGGAAGGCCCAAAGAAGGAACTGGTTTCTTTATCTTAAAGGGATTAAAAATTAACCAACAGTTATCTATTTATAAGAGAAAACTATTATATCAGCCTGTCTCACTGGCTAAATGCAGAGATATGAAAGATGGATGCAAGGGAACGCCCTTGTCTACATGTGGAGCTGCTCAATTTGTTTTATACGGGGGTGGGGGGGTGGGGGGGGTGGCTTATGAAAGTTTAGAGATACACAAAAATCAAGAAATATAAAATTTGTGAGATGGAAACATATGAAGCCCTCCCAGAAATACCGATAAGCCAAGCGAGTTCAAACTTGCACCTGTGAATCTGAAAGGACACTGCTGATCACTGTGTTTCTTGGAAGATATTGGACCATAACACAGTCTCAGAACTTTCATAGCAACCTACATATACGTATTGCACTTAAAGACACGCCTTGCCTCAGAAGTTCAGAAGAAACTTATGAGATCATGTCTGTCCAAAAAATCTTCCAGAAAGTTCTCCCAGACAACAAAACTTGCTAAGCAGGAAATAACTCAGAGGCTGGGAGCCCACTGCTCAGTGAGTGGTTAGGGTGCCAGCCACATGCACCAGGGCTGGTGGGTTCCAAACCAGCCCGGGTGTGCTAAAACAAACAAACAACAAAATAATAGTAACTGGGCGCTGAGGCAATTGCCTGTAGTCTCAGTTACTAAGAAAGCTGAGGCAAGAGAATCGTTTGAGCCCAAGAGTTTGAGGTTGCTGTGAGCTATGACACCATGGCAGTCTACCGAGGGTGACAAAGTGAGATTCTGTCTCAATAAAAAAAAAAAAAAAAATTTTTTTTATTTAAAAAAAGAAAGTGGGCAGGGCACTGCCCCATATACCAAGAGTAGCAGGTTCAAACCTGGCCCCGGCCAAACTGCAAAAACAAAAAACAGCCAGGCGTTGTAGCAGGCACCTATAGTCCCAGCTACTCAGGAGACTGAGACAAGAGAATCGCCTAAGCACAGGAGTTGGAGGTTGCTGTGAGCTATGATGCCACAGCACTCTACCAAGGGCAATAAAGTTCTTTAAAAAAAAAAAAAAAAAAAGAACTCAGAACCAGAATTTCAGAAGACACCACTTTGCGCTGGAGCCATTTTACAAAATTCAACATACTTGTCGTGAACTCTACAGTCTGAGGCTTTCCTTCCGTGTCATCTGCTGCTTGAGAATAAACAGTAGTCTTGTACTGAGTCCCAGGCTTTAACCCAACAAGCAGGACGTGCATGTCTTGGGACTGCTGGCCAGAGGATGGGGCCGTAGGCCCAGGGAAGTTCTCAACACATACAGGCGTGGTGGCGCTGTCGCAGGCCTGGGGCCAGGTGTCTGCTGGGATTCTTTCAGTGCCATTGACATCTGTTTCAGGCAAAGAGACAAAGACATTAACCACAAGAGGGAAACATGTCCCTTGTCTTTGTTTAGTGCCCCCACCCCACAAGATGACTCGTCAGACAGTGCCCACAGCTGGTACTCCATGTAAACACTGTCGTATCTGCAAATGACTACTCCAAGGTCAGTGCAGAAGACAGCTGCCAGAGTTTCCTGCTAAGCATCCCCTTCTCCGTGGGCGGGATAAGCTCCTCCAAAGGCCCAACTTGGATTAACACACCTGCTATTTGTTCAACTAAAAGATAAAAACACTAAAGGGGGCTTGGTGCCGACAGCTCAGTGAGTAGGGCATCGGCCACGTACACAGAAGCTGGCGGGTCCAAGCCTGGCCTGGGCCTGCTAAACAACACTGACAATTGCAACAAAAAACAATAGCCGGGTATTGTGGTGGGTGCCTGTAGTTCCAGCTACTTGGGAGGCTGAAGCAAGAAGATCGCTTAAGCCCAAGAGTTTGAGGTTGCTGTGAGCTATGACTCCACAGTACTCTACCAAGGGTGACATAGTAAGACTCCGTCTCAAAAAAAAAAACACTAAAAGGACCTCTACTCTCCTGGATGCCAGATTCCAGAAAGTTTCCATCCCCATCACCATTCCGAGCCCCGCATATTCACCTGTAAATTAAGAACACTGTCCCTTCCTTCCTCATTCAGACATGGGATCCCACTAAAATGCAGAGGGAAAGCCCTTTGCCCTACACATTCTAAAACTCTATACCAATCAAAGAACAATATTTTTTTTAAACTACCAAGTTCCTAAAAATCAAAACCGGAAAGGAAGATGGGAAGCACAATTTTCTAACTCACCCGAGACAGAAATAACCAGTTCTCTCTGGGTCTCATTTGATTCTAGAAGATACAGGTTGAAACAGCATCGATTTCCTGGCTTCAAGCCTAAAATTCTGATTGTTAAGTTTTGAGTAGACTCATCAAGGCTTCTGCCTTCAAGAAGCATCCAGCAGGAGGCAGTCCCATTGTCATTGCTCCAGGAGACAGCAACCTTCCTCGTATCCACAGAGTGAACATGGAGACCAGAAACCAGAGTAGGAGCAGGCGCTATTTTAAAAACACCTGATGGGCATTAATTGACAAGATATTGATAGTCACTTTTCATGAAGAATAACTGGAGTCACCAATGTCTGCATCTGACTCACTAAAACAGTGGTTCTCAACCTTCCTAATGCCTCCTAATACTGCGACTTTTTAATACAGTTCCTCATGTTGTGGTGACCCCCAACCATAAAATTATTTTCATTGCTACTTCATAACTGTAATTTTGCTACTGTTTATGAATCCTAATGTAAATAGCTGATATGCAGGATGTATTTTCATTATTACAAAGGGGTCGCGACCCACAGGTTGAGAACCACTACATTAAAAAATACTTCTTTACCCAATGCATTTCCATCATTTCCATCATGTGGGAGGAAAAAAACATCAAAATGCAGAAAAGAAGGCCAGGCGCAGTAGCTCACACCTATGATCCTAGCACTCTGAGAGGCTGAAGCAGGTAGATTGCCTTAGCTTACAGGTTCAAGACCAGCCTGAGCCAGAGCGAGACCTTGTCTCTAAAAAACAGCCAGGCGTTGTGGCAGGTGCCTGTAGTCCCAGGTACTCAGGAGGCTGAGGCAAGAGAATCACTTGAGCCCAAGACTTTGAGGTTGCTGTGAGCTATCTACCGAGGGCAACAGAGTAAAACTCTGTCTCAAAAAAAAAAAAAAAATTGCAGAAAAGAGGACAGGAATAAACCTTGAAACCAAAATGCCTTGGTATCTGCACTATTCTCCCAAGATTAACTCCAATAATGATTTGAAACTCTTGTAAATTACCCCCCTTTAAACAGAGGCACTTGGGCGGTGCCTGTGGCTCAGTGGGTAGGGTGCCGGCCCCATATACGGAGGGTGGCGGGTTTGAACCCAGCCCCAACCAAACCGCAAAAAAATAGCTGGGCATTGTGATGGGCGCCTGTAGTCCCAGCTATTCGGGAGGCTGAGACAAGAGAATCGCCTAAGCCTCAGAACTGGAGGTTGCTGTGAGCTGTGACGCCACCGCACTCTACTGAGGGCAATAAAGTGAGGCTCTGTCTCTAAAAAAAAAAAAAAAAGAAAGAAAAGAAAAGAAAAGAAAAGTAAACAGAGACATTTAGTTATGTCTGTTTTAGATATTGGGAACAAGGCATCAAATAAAGTAATCGCTTGTTAAGTCTAAAGGTTTCAATTCAAAATAATGCAAATAACGTCATTTTACAGCATCAACACATTTCAACTAAGGAGCACACTGCTGTCTTCCAATCCCAAGGGGATCTTCCAGAAGACTTTCCATCTATACTGTAGATGCCCTGCCCTTCCTTCCATCTCTGTATGTGGCTGACAGGGATGTAATCAAACCACTTCCTCTGGGTCTGAGAAGAACAGTGGAGACCAGAGGCCCGGCAGCTTGCTCGAGAGCACCCACTACTGGTCGTGGTGGGTGGAGCCCAGGCCCCAGCGTGAAGCATCCATGAATGCCGGTGGTGGGACAGTTTGAGACAAAACACTACCTGAGCTCTGCAGGGGCTGAACATAAACACATGGCCTGGGTGACCCTAAGGCATGGTGCAGCTCTGAAACAACACAATCCCCTCTGGGACCCAATTCCTCACAACAAATGTCTCTCATGCAAAGAGTTATTTGTGTGCCTTTTTACTCTTATTCAAGAACTATAACACCCAGAAGCCCCCCAAGTCCTCCAAGAAGTAGGTGTCCCTGGCCCTCACCAGACCTGGGTGTCTGTCGCTAACAACATTGCACCACAGGGGTCTGGAGATAGGCACCCAGCTCCCGCCCCACCACCTGCTGCTCAGTAACTCTGAGATATCAAATGAAACTTAACTTCTCCACATGACACTTTCTTCAGCTGCAGCCCCCAGGGCTACTGTGAGGACAAAATAACATGTTAAGGAAGCACATACAGGCTCAGTACCCAGTCGCTACGAACCCACGCAGGCATAGCCCTGTGCTCGGGGCTGGGGAGGACAGAGACACCCAGCACCTTTGCCAGGTGCCACGTCCTGCCACCTCGCCACCTCCTTGTCCTACGTCAGCCACTCTGAGTCACCTTGTCCCCATCACCATGTCTAAATTCTGTGTTTTTTTCTTCTATCATCTCTCCACCTTCTCTCCAGATGCCCCTAGACCTCACCAGCCAATGACAGCACACACACTGGGATCAGAAAAAACACTGAGGACCCCTTTATTCAATTTTTGGTTCTACTCGCCTTAAAAAGAGCTGCTCACTTACGTGTTAAGGGCTCTTTTCAGCTTAAAAAAAAAAGAGCTTAAGTTTGCCACTTATAAAAGATGGCTTAGGTTACTGACATCTAAGCTAAATCAAAATCTCAGCTGTCCAATCTTAATTAAAACCTAAATGTCACTGAGCTTTTATTTCATTTGAAACACATATTCCTCTATAAAGTATGCCAACCTTTGCTGCCCAACAGAAACTCCTGGGAACATACACACAGCCCTCATTTCCCTGGGAAAATAAAAGGCAGGTAATTGCCATCAAAATATATTTCTAGTGAGGCATCTACTCCTGAGCCTTAACAGAAAAGTAGGTATTAACCAAGAACAACAAAACCTTTTTAAAACCAAACAGAAGTAGTCAGAACTTCCCAAATCACATAGGATCTTAATGGTGAGTGACCTGACCACCTGAACTCCTGGGCTTGAAACAACAGGCACCTTTTCTTCCCTAGTTGACAAAAACAATCTCTTTCCTACAGGCAACTTGAATGGACAGGGCTCCAGAACCCAGGATATAGTAAGAAACGGCCCTTGATCACCCCCAGAATCCAAACATCTTACCTGTTGTGACATTTTTGAAGCTGGGATCTCCCCAGATCTTACTGCCTGTTCTTGGAGTGATGGAGAACTGATAAAAAGTCTCTGGACTTAAGTCTGTGATGTCGCACCTGGTCTGACGTGTAACACAAGCCAGTTTATCTCCCACCGTATTCATCACTCTATACTCGTACTCAGAAGCAGCCGTGTCATTGTTTTTCCAGGTTAGGGTCACATTTGTTGGACTGCTGGAAACGGCTTCAATGTCAAATACAGAACTGGGTCCTATTTAAATATTGTTTTCAAAAAAAAAAAAGAAGAATTACATTCAGAAAACAGAATGTAAGCAGGAGGCCTTCTCTGCACAGCTACTTTCCAGCAGTGAATTTCATAATCACAGAGTTCAATTTCTTTTTACTTGCCTCTAGACTTCCCTGCAACAAAATCTACTTAAGTCCTTATACATACGTGTACATATGCTGGTGAAACAGAGGCTTTAGGACAGAGGTAACCCTGACGGAAATTGATCATGTTACTGTGACTGCAACAGAGGGTCAAAGCTGCCCAGAAGCTAATGTGAAAAAGACCAGTGGTGCACCAGTGGGTCTATCTCCCTGCTCTCAGAAAACACTGCATTTAGAAAGATGTTCTCTGAGACAGAAACACGTGTAATATTTGTTGCCAGATCCTGATGTCAGAAGGAAACTCAGCAGGTTTCTGACATAAAATGGCAAGGGCAGAAGAGCACAAGGAGAAAAGAGCTGGTCTTGAGAGGTGGCTGTGGACCTGAAAACCGCTCTAGCCATTTGCTATAGGACCTGGAATTAGTTTCTTAAAACCTCTTGGTCTCAGGTTCCTCTGTTCACAGCTCTAACACACCTCACTAAGCATGAAAGATTATGACTGAGCCACCAGAATCTGATAAACAAGGTTGCTGGATTCAGACATTACAAATCTGGGTTCAGAGTTCAATTCTGCTTGAAACCAGCCATGTAGTTTTACTCAAAGTCATCTCATGTCATGTTCTGTAAAGCTGTAGATGTCATCATGATTATTAACAGTAAAACCATCACATGAATGCATCCTAATTAAATTCAGGAAAGGAGTAACAACCAGAAACAGAAAAATAAAACACACGTGGAAAAGGCCCTGATTCTCTGCTTGGCGCCTATAGTTCAGTGGCTAAGGCGCTGGCCACATACACCGAGGCTGGTGGGTTCAAATCCAGCCTGGGCCTGCCAAACAACAATGACAGCTGTAACCAAAAAAAATAGCAGGGCGCTGTGGTGGTCGCCTATAATCCCAGCTACTTGGGAGGTGGAGGCAGGAGAATCATTTGAGCCCAGGAGTTAGAGATTGCTGTGAGCTGTGATACCACAGCACTCTACCCAGGATGACAGCTTGAAGCTCTGCCTCAGGAAAAAAAAAAGAAAGAAAGAAAGAAAGGAGAGTGTCCAAGCAGCTCTTGGAGGGGCCAGGCATCCCCCAACCCAAGTGGCAGGGCCAAGAATGGGGGAAAGAAAGATACAAAAGTCATTCTTTAATATTTGAGGCTCAGATGAAGTGATTTCAAACACACAGCTGATAAGATGACAGCTATCTATGTTCTCAAACCCTGCAATCCACGCCAACAGAAAAGTCTTGCTCACTTGTTTCCACTTGTTGACAACAGATACTGGAGCCATTTGACAAGGTTAAATGATAGCGCGTCCCAGGAGCGAGTCCATCAATTGAAGTATTGCTAGGGTCAATGGGGGGACTCCAGCCACTCGAATCAGTCACATTTATTACTGAAAAGTTTCCTGGTATATCATCAAAATTAATTCCAGTGGCTGAAGATGTGTAGTTGAATGAATCACAGCTGACACCTAAAATACAAGAAAGAAAAAAAAACCTAAACTAATAAAATGAAACCTCCCACCACACACTTGCCATACAAAAGATTATTACTGTAATTTTTTTAATTTATTATAGTTCTCTCTTCCTGATTTAAAATATCTGTACATAGACATTTTCCTGCATACTAGTGATTCAAGCCTATAAGAGGTACCTACCAGCTCATTTACCAAACTGATTAACACAAAGAAAAACCAACAGTAGAACACGCCCCATTGTCCACGCAGGCTCTGCTAATTACTGTGATTAACAGAGATGTGCTTTATTAGGAAGCTTCAGCAAAACTTTCCCCCCGTTGTATGGCACTATGAGAACAACCTAACTATTTTATCTCTATGGTTCACAAACTGGGATTTTTGACAATCAGAAAAAAAGTTCTCAAATTTTCGAGACAAACTAAAGCTACCAATTTTAATTTTTCCCACAAGACACTTTTTTTAAACTACTATTATTTTTATTTCTTATAGAAACATTTTATGACCAAAAAAAAAATATATAGTAAGAGCATAATCCCAAAATGGATGGGATTCTATAACTAAATATATTTAACTTCATTCAAAACTTCCTATATCATCTTTATTTTTTTCATTTTAGTGTGAACAGAATGGACCAGCACCAGTCAGCAATTGGGCCCCAGCCCTCTATATGAGAGCAAAATATACAGGAGGCTGTGTCTGGTTTTCCAAAGGTTATACAAACCCTGTACACCTTTTTTTTTTTTTTTTGAGACAGAGTTTCACTTTGTCACCCTCAGTAGAGTGCCATGGCATCACAGCTCACAGCAACCTCAAACTCTTGGACTCAAGTGATTCTCTTGCCTCAGCCTCCCCAGTCACTGGGACTACAGGCACCCACCACAACGCCCGGCTAAGTACACAATTTTTTAAATGTGTCGATATAGCAACACAAGGGCAATAGAGTAACATAGGAAATACTCATGGGATAAGAGGACATAAAACATAGAAAAATCATACTGCATTGGAGTTCCAGTTAAGTTAAATCACCCATGGGTATAGATCAGTAAGTATCACATAAAATATTTATATTACTGAAAAATATTCATGTTTTATGTGTCACAGTCATACAGTTAGCCAAACTTTTTCTTTCATTTGCTATTCCCATGTTCACCCTGCTTCCAAAGAAAAACTGGGAACTAAGCATTTAAGAAATTAGCATTTTCTGTGATTTCCACATTGCTGTTATGTTGCTCTAAGTCCATTAGGGGGCGGTAGCGCATAGCAAAAGTACAGAGAGGGAAGTGGTACTCACAGTCACCTGCGTACACCATCTGTAACAGAAACAGAAAACGGAAGTCAGCGGATTTATTCAGCCATGAAAAATGCAAATCAGAAATAAAGCAGTTGAGGACTTAATAATGGGGGTGGGGCGGTAAAAAGTACTTTAAACAAAGGCCTGCTAGCCCAGGTATGTCTTAGGACATTAAACGCAGAGACTCAATGAAACCACCTTTCAGATACAGACAAAAGATCAACTCGGTTACACAGAGGCCAACCAGCTGTCACTACCCATGTCCTACACTGGGGCAGCTTCCCAGGTCAGCACCTCCCCCCCGAATGCTGCATGATGAACTGACGTCAAAGACACAGAAGCACAATCAAAGATTGTCAGAGCCAGAGAAAAAGGAAACCAGGACCAATACGCCCCTTCCCCAGAACCATCTGCAGGGTGGAAAGCCAGAGGCATTGTCAGTGGACAAAAATTCACTTTCTTTCTATCAGTAGATGGCAGTATTTTTTTAATCATATGGCAACCAGTTTGGGGAAGAATGAAACCGAAGAGGGCTCTAAGATTCAGCTGACAGTGTCTCAATGTGCAATCTTTAGATCCCTCTGGCGGGCGGGTGGGGGTGGTCTTGGGGAATATTCACAGTGATCCATAAATTATTTCCCCATACTTCAAAAGCCTAAAAAGGTTAGGCTTTTAGGTTATACATTCTACTGTTTCCATAAGCACACCTTTTTGGTGAATGGGATTTTTCAAATTATGGTCCTCATGAAGAAAATAACCAAAAAGAGTTGAAATTCAAACTCTTAACCAAAGCCCACCGACCCCCCCTCTGGTCTCACTGACCCTTCATGTTCTCAAAGGTGCTTTCCCCTTGGAGCCTTTATTACATATTTATTTCCTCCTCCAAAACCACTCTACCCAGATCTTCCCAGGGCCTGGCAAAACTTGCCACCTCCCCAGCAAGCCCTTCTCTAAACAGCCATGGAAAGCAATGCCCCTCGGTCCCACCACATCAGTGGATCCTCCCGCTCCAGCATATGCTACACAAGAACAGAGCCCTGTGTCTAGAATGATGCATACAGCAGGTGCTCAATAAATGGAAAAGAGAAAGGACTTGTCCCAGGTTCCACCCCACTCTCAAACTTTCCCTTTCTCCAATCCCATGCTATCTTCAAGCCCTTAGTATCTCAGGCCTACATTTTATCGGTTCATGTCCAGCCCCTGCCCGTCAGTCTATGCTGAGCCTCAATCACAGGAGATAGGGAAAGAAAAGAGGAGTCCATGGCTGGGCAAGTCACGCAGGGCAGCAAACATTTTTTTGCCCCGTAGTTGGAGACATTAAAGTCCATAGGCTCAAGACTCCAGGATGGCAAGTCCTAGCCCCTTCCAATTCCAGTGTCCCTTGGCGTGTGCCTCTAGGTGTGTATCTAGATCCTGCCCTCAAGCTGTTTACAAGAAAGTAAAGGAAATAAGACAGGTCTCTAAATGAGTAATTCAGTGTAGAAAGCACTGAGAACTCATAACAAGCAATCCTCAAGCACTCCACTAAAGTGCTGGAGCTAAAGCAGATAGCGTCCTAAAGAGGACAGCACATGACCAAATCACAGGACAGGTGAACGATACCCCAGGTAGAGGTGTCCTCTCTAAGGGAAGGTGGAAGAGGGTAATGCAGGATAAAAAAAAAGAGAGAAAAAAAATAAGGCCAGGCATGGTAACTTATATCTGTAATCCTACCACTCTGGGAAGCCAAGGGTGGATTGCTTGAGCTCACGAGTTCAAGACCAGCCTGAGCAAAATCAAGAACTCTATCTCTACTAAAAATAGAAAAACTGAGGCAAGAGGATCATTTGAGCCCAAAAGTTGGAGGTTACTGTGAGCTATGACGCCACAGCACTCTACCAAGGGCAACAAAGTGAGAGTCTGTCTCCAAAAAAGAAAAGGAAAGAGGGCATACAGAAAGGCAAAGTGTCTACGAATCTTTGGTCTGGGTCTGCGTCTACAGTCAGAGACTATGTAAACATTCACGGGCTGATGATCCTCACGTGGGACAATGTGTCAAAGAGCTCTGAGTTCTAAAAACAAAATTGCAAAGATCTCATCTTGGAGAAAAAGGCAAGTTTTGATTAAAATCATAGTTTTGGGCGCGGCGCCTGTGGCTCAAGCGGCTAAGGTGCCAGTCACATACACCTGAGCTGGCAGGTTCAAATCCAGCCCAGGCCTGCCAAACAACAATGAATGACGGCTGCAAGCAAAAAATAGCCGGGCATTGTGGCAGGTGCTTGTAGTCCCAGCTACTTGGGAGGCAGAAGCAGGAGAATCGTTGAGCCCAGGAGTTGGAGGTTGCTGTGAGCTATGATGCCACGGCACTCTACCCAGGGTGACAGCTTGAGGCTCTGTCTCAAAAAAAAAAAAAAATCATAGTTTTGAGTATTTATGCCCCATGCATTTAATCAAATACACACAGCGTGCTAACTGCTGGGCACTGTTCAAATATTAACACCCTTTGTCCTCCAAACAACCTTATAAGGTGGGCACTGGTCACAAACAGCAGATAAACTGCAGTACCTGGATTTGTGCCCAGGTACTCACTCTCCAGAATGTAAGTGCTTAATCACTAACTCTGCTACCACCCAACATAAAAGAAGGTAGACAGAAATGTACTAGGATTTTTAATTAATTTCAAAAGATATTAGCATGTTCCCTTTAGTCTCTCCACCCTCCAAAAAATCCAGCAAGCAGAGTACAAGAGCTCCTTGACAGACACAGGTGAGGTTTCTCCTTGCAACCTTTTCAAAGGCCCTCGGTGCTATGCAAACATGCCAACCTGGGTCTCTTCCAAATACTGTGAAGCAGTGACCAAGGCAAAAACACATTCCATCACATGACTTCATGTCTTTCCTGGCCTCACTCACCCTCTTTTTTCCCTCATCTTCACCTCCCTGGACCTGGTATCTGAATGTGTGAGTACTTGGCTCAGAGCCAAGGAGCCAAAAGAAACCAGACTAAGATACAGCGCGAGAAGACCCAGGAGTCTGCAAGGGGGTTCTGGAGATGAAACTAATAAAAGGGATGCACAGGGGAAAAAAACTACCCTGCTTTACCAGGCTTCGTACGGTCTGCCTATGACAGCTGGAGCTGCTGCAGTCACTCTGTGACAAGGAGGAGGAAACCATCCTTTTGCTGAAGACAGGTGAGGGAACAGAAGGAAAACACCCAGATCCTTGACCTACTAAGTTAACCAACTGTAGACATTCTGCTTCCAGACTTTTGGCCCGGGGAGATAAAACACTCCCTTACTATTTAATTATAGTCATGACATTTTGGTCAATGTACCATATATATGACAGTTGTCCCATAGATTATAATGGAGCTGAAAAATCCCTATAGCCTAGTGACATCACAGCGTAATACATTATGTTTCCTGCATTCAGATACACAAATACCACTGTGTTACAATTGCCCACAATATTCAGTACAGTCACACCCTGCCAGTAGGCGACACCTTTTACATCTGTGTAAGTAACACTCTATGACATTTGCACAAAGATGAAATCTCCTGATGATGCATTTCTCAGAATGTATCCCCATCATTAAGCAACACAGGACTCTACTTTTTTGGGGTTGTCTATTATTTGCAACAAAAGGTCAAGGTAAGGGTTCTGCTTACAACTCTTTCTGTTGACTTTCTGTTGACAATAGTCCTTGGCTGTTGGTACCTAATTTTCACACTAACCCTCATTTTTACAGAGAAAGAAACTGAGAGATAAATGATCTGTCATCCAGGGTCACAGAGCTGGTCAGTGAGAGGTAGAGTCAGGATATAGTCTAGGTCTGCCAGGCTCCAAACTCTTGCACTAGGCACAAATTAATACCCTGCTAGACCTGGCATGATGGATACTTCACTTTTTTTTTTTTTAAGAGACAGTCTCACTTTATCACCCTCAGTAGAGTGCTGTGGCATCACAGCTCACAGCAACATCCAACTCCTAGGCTTAAACGATTCTCTTGCCTCAGCCTCTGGAGTAGCCGGGACCACAGGTGCTCGCCACAATGCCCAGTTATTTCTTGTTGCAGTTTGGCCGGGGCCAGCGCCCTACCCACTGAGCCACAGATGCCGCCCAATACTTCACACTTTTAAAAGAATACAGTTGGCTTGGAGCCCATAGCTCAGTGAGTAGGGCACCAGCCACATACACCAATGCTGGTGGGTTTAAGCCTGGCCCAGGCCTGCTAACAATAATGACAACTGCAACAAAAAAATAGCCAGGCATTATGGCAGGCGCCTGTAGTCCAGCTACTTGGGAGGCTGAGGCAAGAGAATCACTTAAGCCCAAGAGATTGAGTCTGCTGTGAGCTGTGATGCCATGGCACTCTACCCAGTGCAACAGCTTGAGACTCTGTCTCAAAAAAATAAATAAAATAAAATAAAACAAAACAAAACAGTTACCCCTTGAACAAAACAGGTTTAAACTGCATCGGTCCACTTATCAGAGACTTTCTTCCACCTCTGCAACCCCTGAGACAACAAGACCACCTCCTCCTCCCCCTCCACCTACTCAACATTGAAGGATAAAGATCTCTATAATGATCCATTTTTAGTTAATGAACAGTAAGTATATTTTCTCTTCTTTTTGATTTTCTTAATACTATTTTGTTTTCTTTAGCTTACTTTGTAAGAATGCAGGACATAATACACATAACACACAAAATATCTGTTGATCAGCGGTTGATGTTATCAGTAAGGCCCCTGGTCAACAGTAGGGTAGCACTAATTAAGTTTGGGCATGAAAAGTTATATTCAGATTCTCAACTGCAGATTCAGCCTGACGTACTGAGGACAAAACTAATTGATCTATCTGAGCTGCTGCTGTCATCACTGCCATTAAATGTTCACAGTAACCCTGCAAGGTATTCTTATCCCTATTATACAGGTATCACCACCAAGGCTGAGATCCTCCTGACAAAAACCAGTGAGCAGTCTGAAACTCACAGTCTTCCATGTATTTTTTTGTCTAAGTATTTAAGGAGAGCAACAAATCA